CAATGACGGAACCGGCCGGGTGTGTAAGCTGCTGAAGAGCCTGTACGGGCTGAAGCAGTCGCCGCTGTTGTGGTACTTGGCGCTCAACGATGTGCTGGTCGGCGCCGGGTGGAAGAAGAGCCAGGTCGACGAGGCTCTTTACTTCAAGGTCGGTGGGGGTGGAGTAGCCTGCTGGGTGCTGGTCTACGTCGACGACCTGCTTGCCGCCAGCAGCAGCGCCGCGATGCTGAAGGAGCTGAAGGAGCTGCTGGAAGCTGCCTTCGAGCTGCGCGAGATCTCGCCGGTGCAGAAGTACCTCGGGCTGGAGATCGTGCGCAACAGGTCGGCGGGGAAGCTGTGGTTGCACCAGCAGGGCTACGCCGACAAGCTGGGTAGACGCTTCCTTGACAAGGAGCAGACCGGGCGCACACCGAAGACGCCGGTCTCGGTCGGTGCCTACGCCGAGCTCACCTTCGATGACGAGGAGGCGCGGGAACGGCAGGAGGAGGAGTACCGGCAGAAGGTCGGCTCGCTGCAGTTCGCGGCGACGACGACAAGGCCGGACATTGCCTTCGCCTGCAGCAAGCTGGGGAGCGGCCTCACGGTGAGGAGCGACCAGCACTGGCGCGAGGCCGATCGCTGCCTCGCCTACCTCGCCAACACACGTGACACCGCCCTGGAGTTCGGCGGTGGACCTGAGTCGCTGGAGCTGGTCGGCTACGTGGACGCCGATGACACCGGTGACAAGCAGAACAGGACGAGCCAGTGCATCAAGTGCGCGACATTGTCGTTGACCGAGCCAGTGCATCAAGTGCGCGACATTGTCGTTGACCGAGTCGGAGTACGTGGCGGCCACTGAAGCTGGCAAGGAGGGACGCCGCCTTCGCTTCCTCCTCGCAGAATTCCGGCAACTGGACGCCGGGAAGCCGACTGTCCTGCGCGTGGACAACAAGTCGGCCATCACGGTCGCCGAGGGCATGGGGTTGACGGGCAACCTCAAGCACATGGAACGGCGACAGGCCTGGCTGCAGCACATGGTGAGGCGCGGGAAGTTCTCGCTGCAGTACATCCCGACCGCTGAGCAGCCGGCCGACTTCCTGACGAAGGCGCTGCACTATCCGGCCTTCAACCGGTGCTCCGTCACAATCGGCCAAGTGCGCCTGGCAGACGTGGGCGACGGCGACAACAACGTGCAGCAGTAGGTGTCATGCCCTTTGCATGGCTGGTGCGGTGGACGACGAGGAGACACGGGGCCAGAGGTTGACCTGATGCGCAGCGTACCGGACTACAAACGGCCACAGAAAGTGGGGGGCAGCCGCATGGATCAAGGAGGTACAAGCGACCTCCATGACCAGGCCAATGCGGCCCTCCGCAACCCCATTCTGCTGTGGAGAGGCCGGAAGCGTGAACGACTGCTCAATGCCGTGCTCAGCACAGTAGGCTGCCAAGAGGTCGGAGGAGAACTCACCACCTCTGTCAGAGTGCAAGCGCAGGACAAGAAAGTCCGAGTGAAAGCGCTCGCTGAGCTGGAGACGGGCTCTGCGGATCTAAGGGATCAAGACATCAGTGACCTCACCCTTGGTGCGCAAGGGGAAGACCGTGGTGTAGCGCGAGTATTCGTCAACAACGATCAGGAAATACCTCTCCTGACCCTGACCACGGACGCGGGCTGGGCCCCACACGTCCATGTGGAGCGTCTGCAAGGGAGCAGTCGTCGAGGGAAACGAGGAGGAGTGAGGAGCAGCGCGCTGCCGCCCCTCGACACAGGGAAGACAGGGAGGAGCAGGTGAGGGAGGGAGGGGAGGAAGGACCCTGGGAAGGCCAGAGACAAGGTACCGGGAGTGCATGGCACGAAGGCGCTGCACAGACGGGTGGCCAAGTCGGTGGTGCCAGAGGACAGTCGCGTGTGCCAAAGAGCGACACGAGCTGGGGGCCGACAGCTGACCTGACGCGGACGCAGACGCAGACGCAGACGCAGACGCAGCAACCTGAGGGGACTCAGTGGTCAGTGTGTACAGGTCCGACCCCGGCTGCCGAGTGAAGGTAGCCAAGTGACGGCCCGTACGAGCACACGTGCAGTGTGTCACGCGCTCGTAGGCAGGGGTGAACTGGTGAACACCCCCGTCCTGGAGCGCACATCCTGCCACCAAGTTCGTAGAGAACGAGGGGAGGTGGAGACCGGACAGTGTGCCCGACGGGACCGCAGGACAGGGAAGGACAGTGGAGGAGGTCGCAATGACCGGACCCCCAGAGGGGTCAGCGAGGGAGACAGCAACTGGCCGAGCAAGCGGCTCAAGGACAGTGTGGTCACGAAAGAAGCAACGAGAAGCACCTGAGTCCAGTGTGAAGGTGTGCAGTGCTGCAGTAGACTCAGTACCAGGGGGGGCAGACGCACAAGCACCTAGAGCAGCTGCCTCACCAACACCTGGGGTAGCAGACACGCGAGTACCTGGAGCGGCAGACGCACTAGTCCTAATGCCTGGGTCGGGTGGCACACACAGGTACTCAGCACCCTCTCCACTAGTAGACATCACATACATAGCAGTGAGAAGAGCATCAAAGTCTAGAGCATAGATATCAATCCCCTTCTTCAGGAGATCAATCCAGCGGGGCAGCTCAGTGGCCTGAGAGAACTGAACACGCCAAGCGTCGTTGAGACGAGCGAAGCAGCGCTGCGTGGCGTGCGGTCGTCCACACTGCTGACCAGTGCGGTCACCAGTGCGAATGACGTACGTGCAGCTAGAGCCACCCCCCCCTCCGTGCTGAGAGTACCACTCACGGACCTCCTGGGGCGATGGAGTGTGCCGCTGGCCGTGACCACCGCCAGCGCCCCCACGACTGCCACCGCCGCCGCCACCTCCTCGACCACCCCAACCCCTGCCGCCACCGCGTCCACTGCCACCCCCACCACCGCCTCCGCCCCCGCCACCTCCCCCGCCGCTGCCGCCACCACCCCCACCGCCGCCACTAGTCCCTCCAGTCGCGCCACCACCCCCACCGCCGCCACCACCCCCACCGCCGCCACCACCCCCACCACCGCCTCCCCCGCCGTCACCGCCACCGCCCTTGCCCCCTTTGCCCTTGCCGCTGCGGCGCCCACTCGAAGCAGATGCAGTACCGACCTTCTCAGCACGAAGGAGGTCGACAGCAGCAGCAGAGGCGACAGAGGGAAGAAGGGGGGAAGGAGAACACCCCTCAAAGAACGGGGTACGGGGGTCGCTGCGAGAGGCACCTACAGCGACTATGCTAGTCTCAGCTGCAAGGAGTTCCTTCTCGAGGAGGGCAATGGTGAGATCAATGGGGCAGCGAGCTAGGAAGTGGTCCCTGACAGCACGCAGAGAGTCAGGGAGGCGGGTGACTAGGTGGTAGAGAGCGAGCCAGAGCGGGGGGGGGGGTTCGTGGCAAGAAACTCATCAGGCATAGCGGCACGGAAGCGGGCCTCACTAGTACGGAGGTGCGTGATGAGGTCAGCGATTGTGTGGAAGGAGGCGAGGTCGGGGAACATGTAGGGGAGTGAGAGACGGCCTAATGCAGCAGAGGCAGGTGAGGAGTAGCGGGCAACGACAGTGTACAGTGCCTGGGCAGTCTTGTGCTGGCCGAAGTGCTCACGCTCATCTATCGGCAGGGAGTTGCGAATAGCAAAGCGAGCGTGGGCGTCACGAGTCTGCCACTGTGAGCGGGCAGTGCTGTCAGCAGTAGCAGCTGGGGTAGGGGTATGGCCTAGGGCGTGATCGTACAGTGAGATGTCCTCCTTGGCAGTGAGCTGTAGGAAGAGGTGCAGGTCATCTAGCCAGGTGTCGAACTTCACTGGGCGGCCCTGAGTATCGAAAACTAGCACCGGAGGACTAGCCATAGGAGCAGCAGTAAGAGTAGGCAGGCAGGTAGGACGGTCGGTTTGGTTCAGCCAAGACACGATTTTATAGCCCCTACACGATGGTTCAGCCGAGACACGATGTTACAGTCCAGACACGATGGTACAGCCCAGACACGATGTTTTAGCCCTTTACGATGGTACAGCCGAGACACGATGTTACAGTCTAGACACGATGGTACAGCCCAGACACGATGTTTGAGCCCTTTACGATGGTACAGCCCAGACACGATGTTTGAGCCCTTGACGATGGTACAGCCCCGACACGATGTTTGAGCCCTTAACGATGGTACAGCCCTGACACGATGTTTGAGCCCTTAACGATGGTACAGCCCAGACACGATGGTAAGCCCAGACACGATGGTACTCGCCGTGAATGGCGAGCGTGGGGCCGTGAGGGGCCGTGAAGGGCGAGCGCGGAGCGGTAAGGGGCCGTTAGGGGTGAGCGCGGGGCCGTAAGGGGACGTGAAGGGCAAGTGCGAGGCCGTTCGGGGTCCTTAGGGGCGAGCGCGGAGCCGTTCGGGGCCTCTAGGGGCGAGCGCGGGGCCGATCGGGGCCGTTAAGGGAGAGCGTGGGGCCGGTCGGGGCCGTTAAGGGAGAGTGCGGGGCCTTTTGGGGCCTCTAGGGGCGAGCGCGGGGCCGTAGAGGGCCTCTAGGGAGGCAAGCGCGGGGCCGACGGGGCCTCTAGGGGCGAGGTCGGGGCCGTAAGGGGCCGTTAGGGAGGTAAGCGCGAGGCCGACGGGGCCTCTAGGGGCGATCGCGGGGCCGTAAGGAGGGCCTCTAGGGAGGCAGGCGCGGGGCCGTACGGGGCCTCTAGGGAGGTAAGCGTGGGGCCAACGGGGCCTCTAGGGGCGATCGCGGGGCCGTAAGGAGGGCCTCTAGGGGCGGCTAGCACGGGACCAACGGGGCCGTTAAAAAAAAAAAAAAAAAAAAAAAACCGAGGCGCGCTAGGGCATAGGTAGGTAGGTAGGTAGTGGTGGGCCCTTAAAAAAAAACGGTCCTAGGAAGGACCTGCTCTATACCATGTTGAAATGAAGGAACAAGAAAAAGTGGTTGAACTAGCAGTGAAATCAGTACAAGTACCTAACCCTAGAATTGTGTACCCCCTATAGGCTAACCCACTGTAGCCTAAATAAGCACAACATATATAATGTTTGACATGCTCGTCGTCGGCCGCAGCGTGCTCGTCGTCGACCGCAGCCTGCTCGTCGTCGGCGGCAGCGTGCTCGTCATCGGCGGCAGCGTGCTCGTCATCGGCGGCAGCGTGCTCGTCATCGGCAGCAGCGTGCTCGTCATCGGCGGCAGCGTGCTCGTCATCGGCGGCAGCGTGCTCGTCATCGGCAGCAGCGTGCTCGTCATCGGCGGCAGCGTGCATCGGCGGCAGCGTGCTCGTCATCGGCCGCAGCGTGCTTCTCATCGGCGCAGCGTGCTCGTCATCGGCCGCAGCGTGCTCGTCATCGGCCGCAGCGTGCTCGTCATCGGCCGCAGCGTGCTCGTCATCGGCCGCAGCGTGCTCGTCATCGGCCGCAGCGTGCTCGTCATCGGCCGTAGCGTGCTCGTCATCGGCCGCAGCGTGCTCGTCATCGGCCGCAACTTGCTCGTCATCGGCCGCAGCTTGCTCGTCATCGGCCGCAGCCTGCTCGTCATCGGCCGCAGCCTGCTCGTCATTGGCCGCAGCCTGCTCGTCATCGGCTGCAGCCTGCTCGTCATCGGCCGCAGCCTGCTCGTCATCGGCCGCAGCCTGCTCGTCATCGGCTGCAGCCTGCTCGTCATCGGCCGCAGTCTGCTCGTCATCGGTCGCAGCCTGCTCGTCATCGGCCGCAGCCTGCTCGTCATCGGCCGCAGACTGCTCTTCTTCGCGAGAGCTCCACGTTGGATGTTGCTTCTCACGAGCGATTGCCCGCGCCGTTTCCGCATCTACTAGTAGCAAATCCCAGACAATAATTTTGAGCCCGTGCTCCCGGCGCCATCCTCCGATCTACACACACACGCATGGTGCACACGGTTGGGATGCGTGAGCGACTGGTGGCCCTGTCGATGCATGCGTGTCGATACGGTAGAGAGATAACATTTTAGGGTTTTGTACTTGTATATTTCACCCTTGCCTTAGGTGACCATCCCGTTGCATACTTTTCCGTTGCATACTTTGAGAAAGGGGAGAAACTTAGGGTAGGAGCATAAGACTCGGGAAATGAGTAGTATGACAGATCCAGCCTTACCTCAGGCCTGTTGCTACTTCACGGATTAAAATGCCATGCCATTGGAGACTACGGCACATACTAGGCACAAACGCTTGGATCCAAGCTCAACTACGGAGCAAACAATTCTAAACGCTCTGGAAATATAAGTCAATCCTTGGAGCGCTTATGCATAGTCTAATATCGTAAGATGGATGAGTATGGCGGGAGCTCTTTTGTATTGTCGACATTGCAAGAGCAACAATGGAGTGTATTTTACCAGCGCAGTTGAGCTTGTATGGTTTCCTCGTCTGTGATGGTCAAAGCTGCATTTCCCAATGCTATTTGGCCGGGGATGTAGCTGCGCCACTTGGCCAGGGGCGTACGGGCGGGCCACTTGGCCACTTGGAGGCGGGCCACTTGGCCACTTGGAGGCAGGGACTAGCTTTCCAAGACAACCATATTTATCGTACATGTGGGTCGTGTGAAACGTGGAACAATGAAGCTTGAAATAGATCCCAGCAGGATCACCCGCCCGCCCGCACCCGCCCGCCCACGCCGCGCACCCACCCGCCCGCCTGCCCTCCTCCGCCGTGCGCCCGCCCGCCTACGCCGCCGCGCCGTGTCTGCCCGACGCAAGGATCCATTGGTAGCAAGGATCCGCGCGCCACTCGCCCCCACGTCCGCGTGCCCACCCGCCCGCCCGCGCTGCCATACGCACGTGCCGCCGCCTCTTCTGTAGGAAAATAGCCAACATGCATCTAGAGGATGCGGATCGAGCGTTTGTTGGGACGCTGGTGAACATCGAGCACGCTTGCTGGCGAGCACGGGAGCGGACGCGCAAGTATGCGCGCTGGCAGGTGTGTAGGCATGCGCGCAAACGCAGGGCCGAGTGGCATCGCATCCGCGCCCCTGTAACCCCATGTGCGGGATGGTGGGCGGACACGCGCGCGTGCGCGGGCGGCAGCAAACGCACGCGCGAGGGGGCTGGCTGGCGAGGGGGCTGGCTGGCGAGGGGGCAGACGGGCATGCAGGTGCGAGAGAGGGCGCGGGGGCAGGTGGGCGGGCGTTGGATCGCATCGACACGTTCTGTGAGGACTGACGAGAGGACTGCGTCGTCGACATCCACCGCAAGATATGTAAGCACACAACATTTCCGCCTCTCCAACCACCATGACTTCTTTTAGAGTGGATGACCGAGCATAACGTCGCACTTGCAGCAGTGTTGTGAGGATCTGGTTCAAAAAAGTTAAATCTGTTGAATGATTCACCTGGGTACAAGGCGAGGCTAGATATAGGCTCGACACAAAGGCAGTAACCCGGGTGTTACTAGAAGGTTCCGCGGGTCGCGAAGCGTCTCGAACGGGTCCTTCCCAAATTCGGTAGAAGGTAATTCAGTGGCAACCGAAAATCCTAGAATTCGGTCCGCTCAACCTATTGTCAGAATGTTGTGTTTGTCTAGCGTGCAGTGGGGTACTCAATAGTGAGTACAGCCCAATTTAGGGTTTGCAATATGTACTCAACTGCTTGCTAGTGAAACCCTCTCTCTTTCATCCCTCGTTCTTTCACATGGTATAGAGCTGGTTCCCTCCTGGGACTGTTCCTTCCTAAGGGCCCACCACTTCATTTTTTTTTTTCCTAACCTGCCCGAAGCGCCCTTCACGCTCGGCCTGCCCTACCCCCTCTCACGGCCCCTCGCGCCACCCCTAGCGGCCCCGTCGCCGCCCTTAGCGGCCCCGTCGCCACCCTTCGCGACCTCGTCGCCGCCCCTAGCGGCCCCGTCGCCGCCCTTCGCGGCCCCGTTGCCGCCCTTCGAGGCCCCTCGCGGCTTCTTCGCGGCCCCGTCGCCGCCCCTAGCGGCCCCGTCGCCGCCCCTCAGCGGTCCCGTCGCCGCCCCTAGCGGCCCGTCGCCGCCCCTATCGGCCCCGTCGCCGCCTCCAGCGGCCCCGTCGCCGCCCCTTGCGGCCCCGTCGCCGCCCCTTTTGGCCCTGCCTCGACCCTGCCCCGGCCCCGCCCCGGCCATGCTCCCTCGCCTGTCGTGGCACACTGGGGACCCGTGTGGTAAAGATATCAGCAGTGTTGGCCTGAGAGGCCACGTAAGCAAGGCGCAACTGACCACGCTGCTGCAGCTCACGAGCAAGGAAGTAGCGAAGAGCGATGTGCTTCGTTCTGTGCTCCAGTCTGTGCACCCGACACAAGGCCAGCATGGCCTTGTTGTCTACGTACAGAGCTGGAGGAGAACGAGGCTGCTCTCCTAGGTCAATCAGGAGGTAGGTGAGCCAGCGTAGCTCCTGTGCGTAGATCTCACCCTCACAACTGGAGCCGAGAACAGAAGACGAGCGGGTAGACCGCCACGAAACAGAGCCGGAACCAAGGTTGAAGGTGTAACCCTGTGACGACCGCTGCGTAGCCTGGTCGTTAGCCCAAGAAGCGTCTGCGTGACCTGTAAGGACCACTGGACGCCGCCCTCCAAGCACTAGCCCCATGCCCGACGTACTGGACAAGTAGCGCAACACCCTCTTTGCTGCAGCCATGTGCTCTGGTCGGTGTCTCCCGGGAGCAACATAGCGTGCCAAGATGCTAAGTGGGTATGCAAGGTCAGGTCGAGTGCAGGTCATCAGGTACATGAGGCAGCCAACAAGCTCTGGGTACGGGCCACTCGGCTCTACGGACTCATATGAAGGCAGAGCTGAGAGCGAGTGACGAGTAGACAGAGGAGTGGCCTGAGGCGAGGAGTACGTGAAGTCGAAGCGCTGAAGGACCTGCTGCACCATGTGTGACTGAGTCAGGGTAATGGTGCGCTCTCCTCTGTCCCGGGTGATCTGCAAGCCAAGGTAGCTGCGCAGTTCACCCAGGTCTGTGCACGTGTGTCTCTTTTGCAGCTCGGACTTCACGTGGGCGAGTCCAGCATTGTCAGCAGTGGCAAAGACCAAGTCGTCGACGCACACGAGGATGTAGAACGGCGGCAAAGAGGTGTCGGTGCGTAGAAACAGCGACGGGTCAGCAGTAGAAGGAGCAAACCCAAGAGCCGCAAGTGTAGTCCTCAGTGTGTCGTGCCACTCACGGGGCGCCTGGCGGAGACCGTAGACCGGCCGCCGGAGGCTCCACTGGGTACCAGGAGGAAACGACCCAGTGAAGCCAGGTGGGCGGCGCAGCCAGATCTCCTCGTGCAGGCTGCCCTGCAAGAAAGCTGTGCTGGAGTCAAGAGAGTGAAGCTCGTAGTCGCGCTGAGCGGCTATGTGCAGCAGCACCCGAAGAGTGGTCATCTTCGGGGTGGGAGAGAAGGTCTGGAAGAAGTCAACTCCCTGCCTCTGACTGAAGCCTCGAGCCACGTAACGCGCCTCGAAGACAGGCGGAGAACCCGGCGGCCGCTTCACCCTGAAAATCCACATGCCACTGACAATGTTCGCCCCAGGTGGGGGAACCTCGTCGACGTAGGCGCCTGTGGACTTCCAGGAAGCAATCTCTGCGTCCATGGCTGACTGCCATTGTGAGGAGTAGGGACCCTCGATCGCCTCAGCGTAGGATCGAGGAGTCTGGATGTCTTGTGCATCCGGGTCTCCCTCAGGGGCAATCAGCATGGACACGAGATGAGGCAAAGCAGCAGCAAAGCACTGGAACTCCTCCTGCCTGTCCTCATGAACGTCTATGCTAAGAGCACACTCACCCCCGACGGACGGAGGACAGACAGGCTCAGACTTAGTAACAAGGCTAGCGGCGTAGTCTAGACGACAAGCGGCAGCAAATTCAACTAACTCAGCGACTAGAGCAGATGCAGCAGAGGACTCAAAGGTAGGGTCAATGACAACAGTGGCGAGGAGACGCATGACAGTAGGACTGGGAGCACGGAGGGAGTCAGACTCCGGATCAGCAAGAGCAGGAAGAGAGGACGAAGGAGGAGACGGCAGAGGGATACGCTGAGGAGCAGTGGAAGGACGAAGCGCCATCTGGTGGGTGCCTGGGACAGCAGGAGGACGCTGACGCGGGACACGACAACTAGTGCGAGCAGCACGAACAGGGGACGCAGGACGAGACTCAGGCTCACGACGCTCCGTAAGACCTCTAGTCGGACTAGTGTAGGGAGAAGGACCAAGGAGTGGCAAGGCAGGCTGTAGCTGTGACTGCGAGTGGACAGGTAGAGGACACTCTAAAGAGGGAGTAGGACCAGGAGCAGGCAGGAGACTAAGCACCTGCTGAAGGAGCGGAACGAAGTACGGCCGCGGCCGCGCAGCGCCGCCAGAACCAGCAGAGACACCACCAGCAGCACCAGCACCAGGGTCTCCAGCACCAGCTCCAGGGTCCGCAGCACCAGCAGTAGCTCCAACTCCAGGGTCCTCAGCACCAGCAGTAGCTCTAACTCCTGGGTCCGCAGCTCCAGTAGCAGCTCCAACTCCAAGGTCCTCAGCACCAGCAGCACCTCCAACTCCTAGGTCCGCTGTACCAGCAGCAGCTCCAACTCCAGGGTCCTCAGCACTAGCATTAGCTCCGACTACTGGGTCCGTAGCACCAGTAGCAGCTCCAACGCCAGGGTCCTTAGCACCAGTAGCAGCTCCAACTCCAGGGTCCCATGCACCAGCAGCGCCACTCCGGAGACTGCAGCGCCGAGCGTACCACTCTCGGAGCCGCTGGGGAGAGGGTGGCTCCCGCCTAGGCGGGGAACCACGAGCACCAGATCCAGCAGCGCCTCGAGCCCCAGAAGCACCTCTTCTGAGGCTACAGTACCGCGAGTACCACTCACGCAGCTACTGTGAAGAGGGAGGGTCCCCTGGCGCCATACCCTCAGTCACAGCACCCCCAGGCTCAGTACCCTCAGGGGTAGCACTCTCAGGTCCAGCACCCCCAGGCTCAGCACCCCCAGACTCCGCACCCCTTGGCTCCGCACCCTCAGGCTCCGCACTCCGAGGCTCCGCACCCCCAGGCTCCGCACCCCCAGGCTCCGCACACTCAGGCTCAGCACCCTCAGGCTCAATACCCCAAGCAAGACGAGAGTCGACAGCTACCTCGACAGGCTCAACCGGGTCTACCTGGGACACACCTGAGGGAGCGGCACCCTGAGGGGGAAGGGGGTCTACCAAAGCAGCACCTGGAGCAAGGAAGAGAGGCGGGGGGGGGGGGGGGGGGGGGGGGGGGAGCGGGGCAGTGCGGTAGGGGAAGAGTCGGTAGTAGGGGACGGACTCGTCGAAAGTGACGTCCCTGAGAAGGCAGGACCCGACGCGAGGTGGGGTGGTAAAACTGCCAACCAGACGCGTCCTGGAAGGAAGATACAAGGAACAGCACGGGAGGAGAGCTTGTCCGTAGAAGTATCGCGAACAAAGGCTCGAGATCCCCAGACCCGAAAACGTGACGCATCGCCAACCTTGCCCGTCCAACGCAGTGTTAGTGAAGTCTCTGGAACGGAGACACGGGGCCAGAGGTTGAGCTGATGCGCAGCGTATCGGTCCGCAAACGGCCACAGAAAGTGGGGGGCAGCCGCATGGATTAAGGAGGTACGAGTGACCTCCATGACCAAGCCAATGCGGCGCTCAGCAACCCCATTCCGCTATGGAGAGGCCGGAAGCGTGAACGACTGCTCAATGCCCTCCTCCTGACAGAAGGCCTCCAAGAGGCCGGAGGAAAACTCCCCACCTCTGTCAGAGTGTAGACGGAGGACGGGAAGGTCGGGGTGGAACCTCTCGCTGAGCTGGAGACGGGCAGCGCGGATCCAAGGGATCAAAACATCAAGGACTTCACCCTTGGTGCGCAAGGGGAAGACCGTGGTGTAACGCGAGTAGTCGTCAACAACTATCAAGAAGTACCTCTCGTGACCCTGTCCACGGACGCGGGCTGGGCCCCACACGTCCATGTGGAGCGTCTGCAGGGGAGCAGTCGTCGGGGGAAAGGAGGAGGAATGAGGAGCGGCGCACTGCCGCCCCTCGACACAGGGAAGACAGGGAGGAGCAGGCGAGGGTGGGAGGGGAGGGAGCACCCTGGGAAGACTAGAGAGAAGGTACCGGGAGTGCACGCCATGAAGGCGCTGCACGGACGGGTGACCATTGCGGTGGTGCCAGAGGACGGTCTGGTGCGACAGGGAGCGACACGAGCAGGGGGCCGACAGCTGATCAGACGCAGACGCAGACGCAGCTATCTGAGGGGGCTCAGTGGTCAGTATGTATAGGTCCGACCCTGGCTGCCGAGTGAAGGTAGCCAAGTGGCGACCCGTCCGAGGACACGTGCAGTGTGTCACGCGCTCGTAGGCAGGGGTGAACTGGTGAACAACTTCGTCCTGGAGCGCACTACCTGCCACCAAGTTCGTAGAGAACGAGGGGAGGTAGAGACCTGACAGTGTGCCCGACGGGACCGCAGGACAGGGAAGGACAGTGGAGGAGGTCGCAATGACCGGACCCCAAGAGGGGTCAGCGAGGGAGACTGCAACCGGCCGAGCAAGCTGCTCAAGGGCAGTGCGGTCACGAAAGAAACAGCGAGAAGCACCTGAGTCCAGTGTGAAGGTGTGCAGTGCCTCAGTAGACTTAGTACTAGAGGGCACAGACTCACGAGCACCTAGAGCAGTAGTCTCACCAGCACCTGGGGCAGCAAACTCACCAGCACCTAGAGCGGCAGCCTCACTGGTCTGAATGTCCGGATCGGGCGGAACACGCAGGTACTGAGCACTCTCTCCACTATCAAATATCACATACATGGCACCAAGAATAGCATCAAAGTCAAGAGCATAGACATCAATGTTCTTCCTCAGCAGATCAGCCTAGCGGGGCAGCTCAGTGGCACCAGGAAACTGAGTGCGCCAGGCATCGTCAAGGCGGGAGAAGCAGCGCTGTGTGGTGTGCGCCCTCCCACACGTCTGACCACTGCGGTCACCTGTGCGGATGACGTACGTGCAGCTAAGGCCACCCCTCCCCCCCCCCATGCTGAGAAAGGGCACGCTAGGGCGTGTGGGCTGCGCGGGGCCGGTTCGCAAGGGGCACGCTAGGGCGCGCTACGGGGCAGTCGAGGGCGCGACTAAGCGAGGCGCGCTCGAGCGCTACTAACGGAAACGGTGGGCCCTATCATCGGTCCTAGGTTACGACCTAGGCTCTGATACCATGTTGAGAACGAACGAGAATGGATTGACTAGTCGAAGGATTGGGTACAAGTACAAACCCTAGAAATGAGTTATACCCCATATGTGCTACCCCACTATAGCCTACATAGGCTAAGTCATATAAATCTTACATGCTTAGAGCTCCGTGCTTCCGCAAGAACGTTATAAGGAACGAAATGATGGTATGGGACCTCTGAACTTGTTAGGATGCTCAAGTAGCAGAACAAGATTGAGCCTGCAAAACCATGCTTTTCATACTTTATATAACTGTGTATGGGTCACAATGACACGTCCGTGCTCCCGCCAACGTGCGTACCCACTCAGCCCTGCATCTGCGCGCCCGCCTGCGCGCCTGCCAGCGCGCTCACCTGCGTGCCCGCTCCTGTGCCCTTTATAGCTATCCTCACTCTAGCCTAACACACAAACATGTTTGGACACACCCCCATAGACGAAATGATGGACAGCAAGAGTCACGAACGGTCACAAAACCAGTTAAGAGAGGAAACACAACCAAGCTCGTGGTTGGTCTCAATTACAACACAGTACGAGCACAACCAAGCGGCCACAAAGCAAGTTCACATGTACTGTTATAGTAGCAATAGCAATACAGTGATCACAATCTAGCAAGAGCGCATTTATAGGTATAGATATAATTATTAGAGTGTAACAAGTAAGGCTCACTTCTCCTGTTTTTTTGCTAAGTCCTTAAAATCGTTAAAGCTATGAGATCCTTTCACCGCGCATGTTGCGGAACCTGACTTGTGCTATCCACTCCTATGAGGTGCGGGTGCAATGTGAGCAACTGCGTGTTCGAAGCGGTTGCTTTGCGCTTTCGCTCTTGCTCCATAAACGCATACTCCCTCAACCCTCAAGTGGATATCAAGACCAACGTCAGGTCCTTCAACACATGCTTCAAAATATCTGAGGCTTTTAATAAGGCCACTACGGGGAGGAGTAGAGAGATGATCGTCTGTATTAAAGTGGGAGATTATAGTGTATTGCATTATCATTCAGTCACAATAGAATCATCAGGTTATAATGTCCTAACAATTCTTTGAACAACGAAAAAACAATTATCATTCAGTTTTCTTACGTATCAAATTATAGATAGAATAAACTTCTATTATAAACAAGTATAATCTGTAGCTATGGTGCAAAAGCTACGCAACTCTTCTAGCGTTTTAACGTCAAACCCTTTTTTTTTCAGTCGATCGGATAGATCTGTCTAAATCCGTGTGCTAAATATAAGAAAGAACGTAAAAAAAACTACCAAATGATTCTTACGGCCCGCTTAGGTGCTCCACAATCGGGCACGGGGTAAAAGGGTGGACATGCACAGGGCGGGCGCTCATCTGGCGGGGACGGGCGCGGGGCGGGCATGCGCGTACGGGATGGAGGCTGGCGGCACACAGGGCGGGCGGGCGGGCGGGCGTCATCGGGCGGGTGCGGTCGGCACGCGGGGCGGGAGGGTGCGCACGGGGCAGGGGCAGGCGGCGCGTGGAGTGGGCGGGCGCGCACGGGGCTGGGGCCGACCACGTGCGGGGAAGGCGGGCGCGCATGGGGTGGGGGCCGGCCGCGGGCGGGGCGGGCGGGCTCGTTCGGGGCGGAAGCCGGCCGCGCGTGGGGAGGGCGGGCGGGCGCAAACGGGGCAGGGCCCGGCCGCGCGCAGGGCGGGCGGGCGCCAGCCACGCGGGGGGCGGGCGGGCGTGCACGGGGCGGGGGCCGGCCGCGCGATGTTACTGCTGGTCGCGGGGCGGGCGGGGGCCGGTCGCACGCTGTTATTGCTCATTGCGCGATTTACTGCTGCTGGTTGCGCTGTTTACAGCTGCTGGTTGCGCTGTTTACAACTGCTGGTTGCGCTGTTACTAGTTCTGGTTGCGCTGGTACTGCTGCTGATTGCTGCTGCCTGCTCTGTTCATTATTGCATGCAGTGCTTGCTTCTTTGTTCACAGTTGGTCGTACTGTATGTCGGTGATGCATTGTTGCTGCACTGCTAGCTGCACTGCTGGTTGAATCGCTGCACTCTTCATTTGTTGGCTGCATAGTTAAGTGTTTATGTTAACTATTGGCTACCGCACTGTTGGCTGTTCTGCTGGTTGAACTCCTGGTTGCACTTTTCACTAGTCGACTGCATTAATTGGTTGCACTGTTCACTATTGGTTGCAATTTTTGCTGCACTAGATATTGTTGGTTGCGCTATTTACTGTTTGTTTTGTTGTTTTACTAATGGCTTTAGTGTTCACTTTTGGCTGCACTGCTTCACACTTGACTGCACTGATAACTGTTGGCTGGACTGGTCACTGGTTGGCTGCACAGTTTGGTTGCACTGTTTACTATTGTTTGAACTGCTGACTGCATTGCTGACTCCACTGTACTGCGTTGTAGAGTCCCCAATGTATTGGTTTGACAAGTGTGTTGTTTTGGGTCTGCGTTTTTTCTTATGGCCCGACTGGGTCAGGCAAAACGTTTACAATGTTTGGATCCATCACCGATATAGCTCTTCATGAAGCTATTTCGAGATCGTTGGAGCATATCTTCGATCTCAAGGGGAAATTATTGTTAACTGGCCAGTTGGTTGCACTGTTCACTCTTGGTTGCAATTTTTGCTGCACTAGATATTGTTGGTTGCGCTATTTACTGTTTGTTTTGTTGTTTTACTATTGGCTTTACTGTTGGTTGGACTGGTCACTGGTTGGCTGCACAGTTTGGTTGCGCTGTTTACTATTGTTTGAACTGCTGACTGCATTTCTGACTCCACTGCACTGCGTTGTAGAGTCGCCAATGATTTGTTTGACATGTGTTGTTTTGGGTCTGCGTTTTTTCTTATGGCCCGACTGGGTCAGGCAAAACGTTTACAATGTTTGGATCCATCAACAATATAGCTCTTCATGAAGCTATTTCGAGGTCGTTGGAGCATATCTTTGATCTCAAGGGGAAATTATTGTTAACTGGCTGGACATTGGCCATTGAGGTGCGCTCATCTTTCATTTTCAGTTCATCTCAGATTTCAGTGATGGAGATTTGTGTTAATTTGATGTTCATTTTTTTTTATGTGTGTTAATGTTAAAAGTGTTGCTTCATGTTCGCAGGCAGTATCTGCGCGTCTTCACGATGTTTGCATCATTCCCGAACTTCATGTTGTTGTAATGGAGTCTATAGATGAGGAAGAAATACTTATGTCTTATGAACAGTATGATAGTTTTTCTATGTCTTATGTTCGGCAAAAAATGCAATTGTTTTTCTTTTTTTCTCTTACGCTGGGCTGTTCAAGCGACTGCCATGAATGGAGTCTCTTCACGTAGCCATACAATCTTCACGATTCGTCTAAATGGCACAAACACGGTATGTGTTGAAGTGCGTAAAGATGATAAAATAACCGAATATTGCATAGATTTGTCAAATATAGGAGGAGTACGGCCTAGGCTTTGTAGCCTAGGCCACAGTAGGACTAGAACGAGGAGGCGCCAAGTACAAGCTAGGAACGTGTGCACGAAAAGAATTGAGAAGGGATGATTGAACTAGCAAGCAGCAGGATACAAATAGCAAACCCTAAGGGGCTATACTCACTATTGAGTGCCCCACTGCAGGCTACACAAACAACATATTCTGACAATATTCTCTTAACTTGTCCTTTTTTCTAGACCACTTCAAAGAAACCCCATGGTGTCCTCAATCTAGTTGATTTGGCTTGAAGTGAAGACTTGAACAAGTCCAAAGCTCAAGGAGAAAGAATGAAAGAGGCTATCATAAGAAAATCATGTGTTGGGCTGGGCTAGAGTTGACTGGGCTGGGCTGGGTCAAAGTGGGATAAGCTGGGCTACAGTGGGCTAGGCATGGGCTAAAGTGTACTAGACTAGGCTAGAGTGGGCTGGGTAGGCTAGAGAGAGTTGGGCAGGGCTACAGTAGGCTAGACTGGGCTAGAGTGGGTTGGGCTGGGCTAGAGTGGGTCGGGCAGGGCTAGAGGAGGTCAGGCTGGGCTAGAGTGGGTTGGGCAGGGCCAGGGTTGGTTGGTGTCAGAAACTAACCAGCAAGAATGATTGCATTGAGTAAGAATGAGTGCTAACCCTAATTTGGGTTGTACCCCATATATACGAAGAGTTTAGCTGGGCGAATTGTGGTTACGAAATGTACAAAGCCATCTAATCGGCCAAAACATTTGAGTCAGCGAATGGAACAGGTGGTGCGGGAAACTGGCAAGAGTAATATTTGTGCAATATGGGACTCGCGCAACCAAACCTAAGCGTCCCCTAGGCTTTCCTGAGTCAGCGAGTTTTGTTTTGAGTTTGGCGAGAAGCTGGGCGAAACCAAACTCCTACACCCCTCAAACACCTCGACTTTCCTACTCAGCTCCCCACCACTCAAGGGTCAACTTAAGTAATCCTGAACAATTTGGGCCTTGAGTTTTAAGCAGATCCCGGAGGCCAAAGCTACTGGCGGTGTGCTGGCTTATTAAAGTACGTGCTGGCTTTAAAGCACGTGCTGACTAAAGTGCTAAAGGTAGGAATTTGTATTCTGGCTGCACGTTATCCAAATGTAGTTTCATTCTACGTAAAACCATTTGATCATCCTTCGTTTGCAGAGCTACATTGAAGGTAACGAGCGGGTGGTAATGGTGCTCACCACTTTGCTTAACGTTGGAGAAGTGTTTAGAGCACTTGAATTTGGTGGAAGAGTCAACACGTGCGAGCTGAGATATGCCAAACGGGATGATCGGCAAAAAGGACCAGCAGCGTCGTTAGGGAACAAAGGGTGGTAGACCACCATAGGGAAAGGGCTGAACCTTCTGAGTCTTAAACCAAACATCTGGGTTATGTTGAATCTATTCCCTCGTCTTCTACGTACAATGCGTGTGCTGCTGTGATTGGTGATGTTCCGAACTAAGTGCACTTCTTTTACACAACTCATGACAACGTTTGAACGTTGGACCATTGGCATAAAGAGGGGCACACTTGGTCATTGCTTGTATTGTACCATACTGTTAACAGCTGTTTAGGTCTTACCTCCTAAAAGATGGGGAGAAAAATAAATGGGGAAGGTTGGCGGCTTTGGGAGTGTGTGTTTAATGCAGTAAGAAATATCGGTCATCGGATAATTTTGACGAATGATCTCAAACTTCATTGTTTGCTAGTGTACTAAAGGGAACTTCTCGTTGGGGCCCTTAAAAGTCAGCGTTTCATGCGAGTATGCTAAAAGGTACTGATTTTACACAAGGATGCCTACGGGAGTGACATCTAAAACCAGTGGCATCTTACTGTGTGAAATCTCCACAAGGTGGGGAGATGGGGAATAAGAGAGGCAGAACAACAAGGAGCCAAGGAGGCAGAGAAAGGTGGAGGAGAAATGTGCACGCCCAGGTCAACGGAAGTATAAAATCGAAACATGACCTAATAAGAGACTTTCCCAACACGCACAAATAAGGCGGAGAGGTCTCTGAGAGCCGCTTGCTTGCTGAGCTGATATCCTGCTGCTACCCACTGCATCCGTGCATCCAGTCTCTTTTACATTTCTCCCCGTATGCTCTCGGCCCCCATTTTATCGTTTGCACAAATCTCTTTGTCAAACCGTCGCTTTGAGGATGGTACTGCGACGTTCGTTTGTGGGTGATGCCACTCTCTTTCAGCAGCTTCTCAAACTCGCCTAAGAACTTCATTCCCTGATCAGTCAGCACTTCTACGCAGGCCCCAAACCTCGTCAGTACTTGCTCCTCAAAGGCTTCAGCTATTCTTGCTGAGTTTTTGCTCGGCAGCGCCTTTACTTGCACCCACTTGCTGCCGTGTTTAGTCATGATGAGGATATAATTCTTCCCTCTTTGTCTTAGTGGCATTTCTCAAGCCAAGTCCTGGGACCACCTGAACCCTAACCCTCTGATCGGCAACGACTGCAGCTCTTCTCTTCCTCTCTCCAACTCAGCATTGTTCCTGCTGCAGAACTCGTATGCGAGCACCCATTCCTTAAGCTCTCTTCTCATGCCTGCCCACCACCAGCCCGTCTCCACTAGCTGGCTCGTCCTCAGGCTTCTGTAATGCCCTAGCTACCTTTGTACTTTCGTAATTATCCCCTCCTTCTCTTCGTTCTTGGGGACCACCTTCCATCCATCTTTAGTGCTTTCTGCAGCTGCTCCTGGTACCACCGGTAGTGTGCTCCTCCCGCTTCGGCCCTCTCGCTGGCTGGCTCTGCTTGGGTGGTCTTCCCTTGTATCCATACGTCTTCTGGCCCCTTGCTCTGCTTCTCTTTAGCTCCCTGTCTGTCGATTTCTTTTGCAAGAGCCACCACACATGGACAAACTTTCTGGAGGCAGGTTTCTTGATAGCTCGTCCACATGCTGCAAGGTCTTCTCAGGCATGTGCCTGATGGTGAATTCGTAGTCCTGGAGGCGCATGGTCCACCTTGCTTTCCTCCCTGGCAACGGTTGGTCATTAGCCATGTGAGTGGCTGATGGTCGGTCACCAGCACAAAGGGCCTGCCTTGCAGGTACACCCTGAAATGTGTGATGCCCACATGGCAGTCAACCTCTCTCCCTCGTATGAGCATTAGTTGGCTTCAGCTGGATTGCAGCTCCTACTCGCGAACCCCACCACCATCTCCTGCCTCTCCCTTTCTAAATAAGATGCCCCCCATCCCGACACTACTCCAGTCTGTATACAGCACGAAAGGGGTGTTTTGCTGGAGAGGGATAGCACAGTCGCGGATTTCACTGCTCGGAGCAGTGCCTCCATTGCCCCCTGCTTTGCTTCTCCCCACTGCCAGGCTTGCTCTTCCCTCAGCAGCTACGGCTGCTGATATGATGTATACTATATATGGACTGCACTTATTTTATCAAGACTTTATTAATTATACGACCGAAGTTGGGCACGAGTTTCCGATTGCAATTGAAGAAGCCCAGGATGGCTCAGAGTGTGCTTCTGTCCTTGGGTGGTGGCACCCTATCCAGTACTTCCACCTTCGCCTGTTGGATACTCATCTTCCCCCCTTGCACCTCGAAGCCCCTTGGTGTTGCTCCTCTGATTTGCTAAAGATGACTACGTCATCGATGTAGCATGCGGCTGCCGGTACGTTTCTTAGTGCAGCGTCCATGGTGCACTGGAATAGCGCCAAGGCGTACTTCATGCCAAACGGCATAAACTTCTATTCGTACAGGCCGTCAGGTCCATGAAATGCTGTCTTTTTAAAGTCCTTGGGCCGGATCAGTATCCAGTTGAAGCCATGTTTCAAATCCAGGGTTGTGAACACGGTTGCACCTTGTAGCTTGCTAAATATTTCCTCAGCTAATTACATCGAGTACCTATCCACCACTGTCACTTTGTTAAGCCCGCGGTAATCTCTGCACATCCTTTTGGCCGTCGTTTCTCCTGTCAGGTCTTTCCTTGCTAGGGGAGCCAAGCAAGCACTGACAGTCAGCCGAGCATAGTGGACGCTTCTGCTTTAGGTGATACCAAGAGTATTTCATTGGAAACACTGAAGGGAGGGTTCTAAGGGAAACCTGAAAGAAAGAACAAGGACAGGGAGA